CAGTCTCACTAGTCGAGATCACGTGTGTCGCTGACTTGCCTCGGGAATATAAGCTAATTGAACCAGTAGCTTTCCTTGTCTATCCAGAAGCTTGTCACTCTAAAGCATGCATGCAATATCGTTCTCTCCAGGGCGCGCTGACCACCACATTCAGATATTAGAGCACTGAACGTGCGCTATCATCAACACAGGAACACACTTCGCAGCTTCTAACAGCGAAGCCTTCGGCATTCAAGATGTAGCACAATTGACCGCTTCGATGTCTTTCCTGCCAAGTGGGTGATACAGTATAACCGGTACTCCGACCAAAGATCACCCCCGAACTTCCACTGGACGACTGCTTGGCTCTGGAAGACGAGCGGCAACTGCACAATATCAGCGTTGAGCTTTGAACCCTTCAGCAGGGCATCGTTGAGGCAGGCATGACCTAGCGCGTGCGTTGGGGCGTCAGACACAGCACGAAGCCTTGGTGTGACAGCATTTCACAAATGACTGCACGATGAGGCTCATAATATCACCGTCTTGTGGCTGTGGTATTTCCAATCGCCTTGTCTGTTTTTCACTAAACACCATTGTGATCGCCTTGCCGCGGTGTCTATACAGTTCAGAACGTTTCTTGAACCAGTTCAATTTCACTTGTCGATAGTCTTCCCCTATTCTTCGATTATCACTGCCTGAATGTCTACCCAAAACTTGTTGACTTTAGCGGAACCTTGTAGCAGCCGTCAAACTTGATGATGCCCTGTTTAGATGCCTCAAGTTCTGGTGGAGCCATCCTGTTTTTCTCCGCAGGCGCCTTGATCTCCTTGACGCCGAGATGCCAAATTGCGGAAAGATCACCATTAGGAACAAACTTCGTGCTACGGAACAGGAATAGAGCGCTCGTGTATGCTGAACTTCTCTCGCGTTCCATGGTGCCCTGAACGCTCCAGCCGAACTTGGTTTTTATGACCGTAAGATCACCGAACAAGTAATGTATACAGAACAGGAATAGAGCGCTCGTGTATGCTGAACTTCTCTCGCGTTCCATGGTGCCCTGAACGCTGCAGCCGAACTTGGTTTTTATGACCGTAAGATCACCGAACAAGTCATGTACCCTTCCAGTTGCTACCTTCCAGAAGACGTCGGAACCAAGTAAAACGCTTACTTCCTCTGGTTGCCAGGGGTCGGGATGAAGTTGGGTTGCAGCATCATAGTTCTTGTCGCACAAAAGCAGCGAAACATCAGTACTGAGCAGCGGACTGGTAACTGCACACACTTTGGGTACTTCGAAGGCCTCTACGGTTATCGCCATGTCCCCATGTTGGCCTCATAAAGTCAAGGCTACCCGTCGACTGTGTGCTACTTCACGGGTCTTTCAGTGGCCGAACGTCCCCAAAGAAAGTTCTTCAGTTTCGATAACCGGGCATCTGAGGTCCTTTGAGACATCCGCTCGGATGAATGTGCACTGGCTGCCGCTGTCAAGAAGAATGCGAACGAGACGCTTTCGGCACCCGCACTTGATCTAGACTCGTCCTGCCTGAACTTGAAGAAGAACGGCGTTGATTCCACTCTGGGCGCTTGGGGCCGATGTCACTGAAGGCGTGTTAGTGCCTCGCCCGGCGATGCACAGGTTGTCCTGTTTCATTTTCGTCGTCATTGTACGGGTTGGGGCTGCCGGTGTGAACAATTCACAGACGATAGTGAGGTGTCGTCGGTTGCACTTACTACACGTGATGATTCGTGCATGTCGGCAAAAACGTACCGCGTGGTTTTGCAAACCACAACAATAAGAGCAGCGAGCAGTGCGCAACCAAGCCCATTTTTCCTCAGCCGAGAGTTTAACGTGGCAGCTCAGGATGGTGTGCTAACAACTGCTGCATAAAGGGCACACCTCTTCCGTAACAGTAACAGATTCGGCAGCAAGTGCGGATGCCGTAGACAAACGTCCTATCGGTGCCAATGGAGGTTCGACCTCTTCAGGCCGCGACCGCGAGAAACCACACGCCGTTTGTTCTGGCCTACTTTCCTCCGAACCTCAATCTGAATGCACAGAAAATTTTAAAACTTGGCAGCCTGGCGAGCTTTCTGTTCAGGTGTTGCGATGCCGGACGTTTCCTGCGGCGCTTCCTCCACCTTTTGGTGGTAGAAAATTGCGAGATCAACCGGCAGACACTTCAACATAACGCGTTCAGGACCACGTCGTACTGGTCCCGAGAGGCGCCCAAACTAGTCAATGCAAATACTAGAAAGTTGACCTTGTTGTAGAGCAAACGAAGCTTGTCCACGTCTGCCGACGACTTGACTGGCGCTAAGGTGAGCTGGTGGTTACCGTTCTCATTGACAAGCAAGTCGCGTTGACCAAATCGCTCCCTCAAGGTCTTGGTCACAATGTTGTAATTGTCCTCGGTTAGTCAGATGCCTTCGATTGCTCTCTTTGCTGCACCGCTAAAATAGGACGGAAGGTACTTGAACTTCTCGATCTGTAAAAGATTCTCATTCAGGTGAATCGTGGCACTGAAATGGTCCCAGAAGGACTGCCGATTGGGAAGTGCGCCCAAAAACTTCGGGATCTGTAGTTTCGGCACGACCGCCATGTGGTGACGCGGCATCGTTTCTTGACTGGGAATCGCATAGTCTACTCGAGAAGAGTCACTGCGGTAGTGCCAACACCGCAGACTCTGGTCTGCCTTGTTGGCACCACCGGTGCCGGCGTTGGGTGATGTAGCCATCGACCTCGCAGCACTCGTTACTGTCGCCTAGCTTGCGGCCTCTCGAAGGAAGAAACGCACTCGGGATACGGCGTAAGAGACCCTTCGGTCATTCTCTTCCGCGACCTCGAGCTCTTCCACGTTGTCATCGTCAGTCGCATCGAAAATTTCTTTGTTGAAGGTGACAAAATCGGCTTTCTTCTGAGTGAAGTAGGCAACGTGGGAGTCGACCTGACTGGCACCGGGAATGGAGGCCTGCAGCTCGTCGGTCAGGAGCGTGATAGTTTGTGTGACGCAAGGCCTGACGACGCACACGGTTCTTGCGCAGCCGCTCTAAAGACAGACGCCATCGGAAGTAGAATCAGAAGTAGAAGTCTTGGAAGGGCGTGACCGGTGGGGGGGGGGGGGTATGGCACCAGAAAGATGTCGCACATATTCAAGAACCGAGCCCTACGCCAAGAACGTCCCGTTATTTCCACAGCTCGTGCCTAAGCATTCTTCTTTATCCTCGGTTCTCCTGCTCGTTGTCGCGCGGCTGCAATCATCCGCAACAGTACTCGCATCAATAGACAGCCAAGGATGTTGCAAAAGCCACGCATGCAACATGTGCAAAGACTGAATCAGTCGACCACTTCCTGGTAAAGTAACACTTGTTCAATTTTGATAATGTGAAGACACGAACACCGCAAGAATCCTTTGTAGAAAAGTTGAAGAATCATGGTTCATTCATCTTAATCTAACTTTATGTAATCCGCAGTCCCCTGCCAGACTTTTACAGCAACATATCAGTAAGATGTGTTCATTCATTGGAAGTCTGTTGTGTAACTACGATGCCACCCGCTAGCGTAACGAATCGTTGTGTTTTGTTATTTTCATTATTGTGTAAAGCCAGTGATAAAAAAATGTTGAGTAAGATTCCCCTGGCTTTCCAAACACTCACCCAGTGTTATGTTATATGCTATGACAGGTAAGTAGACAATACTTTGTGCCTAAGTGCCATAGCTTTTAGTGGTGCTACCAGTATGGTGTGTAATACATATCCACTGTGATCGTGCCATACGCAAGCGTCATTCCATTTCACTTAAATTTGTAACAGCAACAACTCACCAGATAATTTTCGCTCCAAGTACATTGCGCTGCATTGAGCTCCTCAATACATTTAAGACGTGTTCATGCTGTACAAGTTTTAACTCACAAAACGAATACAAATAATCAACACCTTGCAAACATACGTTTATATTGTGATCTATTAAACAGAATGCGAAAGATCATTACAACATTCGTGCTATCTTTATGCACGACGTGTCAAAATAAATGCCCTACCAGCGTTATTGCAGCAGCACACCTTTCCAGTGATCGGGTGCTACGTACATAGTAACATGTGTTGTGGACAAGGCAAAGCAATACAACCATATTTTCACAATCGTGCATAGGCTCCCTGTTCACGTTCTTGCAACTACGCAAAGACTTAGGTGCCAGTTTACCGGCCAACTCCATCATTTACAAGAAGGATAGGCATTTACAAGAAGAAAGAGCTTTGCTGCTTAGCTGCTAATCCCACCCTTCTAAACTGTTTTAGAATGAAGACATTCTTTCAGGAAGACCAAAGTGACCATATTATGGACATGAAAGAAAGTTGTTTGGACAGATTAGGTCGCGAAGAAAATACCTTGGCGTGTACAGGATTGTTGATGCGTTTTGTAAATACATGATAAACACAGAGTAAAGTTACCACTGAGTCTTAAGGTTTAAACGGAATGTATTCGACATGAATTGACTTCAGTGGCACCTTTGATGGGAAACTCCTATTCTCGTGTCATCTTGCTGACACATTTACCTTGAAATTACGTTTTCTCTACAGCAGTGCTTCGCACAACTTCACTGAAATCTTTAGTACTCTGAGGCGACTGGAGTGAACCTTCAGTGAGTTTACCGTTGTGTTTCAAGGCAAGCGCAGAACCTGCAAAGTTTACCAAGGAACATAGAAGGCAGCAGACGAACATAATTTAGCTGCTCAAGCTTTGTGCATGCCTGTTGTTTTACAGCGAAATCTGTTATGAGGTTGCAACACTGGCCACGCGCGGTGCCGTAGTTGTCCGCTCTCAAAGGCCGGTATTATAGCTTTCGCTGTGACTGTGCTGCGCGTTACACGCAGGCCCGGCGTTTTCTTTTATTGGTCTTTAGAACAAGGAAAGGAAAAGTAGCGTCTTCTGGAGTAAGTGACGAATTGCGTGTTCAGAACCTCCAAAGGCTGAAAAGCAGCAAGCTTACTAAATGGCGAACGCCAAGGAGTAAGAAATAAGTGTTCACCTTCTTAAGTACACGCTTGCATTCACTCAGGAGTTTCGAGCCGTCCTTTGCAGAGCAGAGGACATAAAACAGCACAACAGCGTCGAAATGGCCGTCGGGCAACATGCTCATGTTTTCTCCATGTCCAAAGATCAACCACTTCAGCTCCACCTGATGAAGAAAAACAACAACACTTGTTTTGCGTTCGCAGATAACTAGCACCGATGACGTCATTGCAAAAACTGAAGGTCCGGCCTTTTAACAAGTAAAGTAGTTCTACATGCACCCCATGATTGCATGAGGAAAGTCTCAAAAAAGAAAGAACTCCTATCGACAAATTTCAGTGTACGCAAAGCGCTACCTCCACGAAACAAAACTGGTGCGAGATACGAGTAGCACAATACTACTGCGGTTCGTTTTAAATGAGAAGCAGGTCCTCGACTAGCTTGTGGGACGCTGTCCCTCCACACCAGGGTGGTGCCAAGTAGGCCACGCTTTCCCTCGCAGTGCGCGCGCGTGACGCCACTCTCTTTCTAGTCAGTCACCATTTGCCGCCTGCCATCTCTCTCGCTTCATCCTCTTCACCGCTCTCAACGCTCGAGCGCGCTCCTCACGTCAGCATCATCATCCCCCCGCGCCACCTCTCTCGAACTGTCAGCGAGAAGAAGCCGCTGGTAGGCACGCTGCGCACGCCCGTGCGCCGTCGTCAGCCCGACAGTGGTCCCACGGCGCCGGCAATCTGGGCAGCGCGCCGCTGCTTGCCGCGCGATGACACCGACGGGCGGGACGCCGCCAGGGCATGCTTCCCCCTAGTGTTCGCGTACCTTTCCTGGCCTTCGCTGGTTTTGCGGGCTAGCGAAGCCGATCGCGTTCGTGAATGGCGACATCGCGCCTGGAACACCAACGAGCCGCGAGCCAGGGAAACTGAACGCAAGCGTCGGCAATGAAAGACCAACGGCACCGAGGAAGTGCGAGTCAATAGCGCCGATTGGTTTAGAGAACAGAAACGGCGCGCGGGTAACACCGATGAAACGCGAGCCGATGAAGCGCAAGCATCTTCAACGAGTCCTTCTTCCCATGTCTTTGCTTTTCAAGCAGACGTTTACTCAAGTAAACGCTACACTGAGTTTCGCTTCAAACCGTTCATTAGCAGCTGCATCGACGCCTGGTTCAATCGGGTCAGTGCCGTGCGATCACTGCCGCTTCGCATTCCATCAGGGTCCCATTCGAGGAGATGGATGAATGGATGAAAGAAAGTTATTAGGCTGCAATAGGTCTTACTAATTTCCTAGCCCGAAGCGGGCTGCTCCCACGTTGGGACCGAAAGTCCTAGCCTTTCAGCGGCTTCGCGGGCCCATTGGACTGCCCATAATTGTCCCTCTACTGAAGTAGTGCACAAAATGGTGTCCGATTATCCTTCAGTATTTTCCTTGTCGCTGCGTAACGCGGAGCAACGCCACAGCATAACAGCAAGATCTAGGGTGTCGTGGAATTTATCGCATGTTGTAGGAACATACTACTCCGGATATATCTTGTTAATTAACAAAGGGTTCGAATAGGTTATTGTTTGTAATCGCCTGAGTGTAATGGCTTGAGCTTGGTTTAGTTTATTGTGTCGAGGGGGAAGACTCTGCGTCCTAGATAGAAATGTTTCGTTAGCTCGTTGTACGACAGGAAGTGAACCTTGCATGCTGAAACCTCACCATTTTCTCGCTTTGTGGTTGCATGGTTGACAAGCTCTCGTGCAGCATTGTGGGCAGATTTGTTGAGGTTAGCTGGAGCACCATTGATTTCTCCCTATGTGAGCAGGAAACAGAATATTCCTGTGTGGCTTGATTACTTTTCTCTTGAGCATTGCCAGAGGCTGTTTAGAGATGGCTAATGCTCGCATGGCTGCTCTGGAGTCGCTGTGGATTATCGATGTATTTGGGTTCATAAGTGTCAATACAATCCATCCCCTGAGTTTGCGGCCTCTTCTCCTAAGCCTGTATAGCAAAAGTTCAGATTTATTGGGTAAGCATCGGAGTCCCGTTCGAATGAGGTGCTCGTCTATCATGTTTACAGCTTCTTGTAATTTCTCTTCTGTTTCTCAGTGACTGCCTCCAGTACACCATATCGTGACGTCATCTGCGTAAATAGTTTACTGTATGCCTTCGATGTGTTTAAGTCTCCTGGCGAGAACTATCATAGATATATTGAAAAAGGTAGGCAAGATGACCGCTACGAGGGGTGTGTTCCAGTTGCCTAGCTTTTTTAGCCTTCTCCTGAATTCAATATGTTACCCTCAATAACCTAGCGGTTATTCTGCCTGCGTGCTGTGTCCAGCTCATGTCCATTTATTCTCCTTGATTTGAAATATGTTATCTTTAACGTTGGTTTGTTTCCTGGGCCACTCTGATAACTTCCTGTCTTTTAGTTTTACACATATCAATTCACTTTCCATCACTCGCTGCGTCATTCTCATTTTAAGCGGAACCCTCTTTCAAGCCTCCAAGTTTCTGCTCCATAGGTAAGTAATGGTAAGATGCAGCTGTTATATATATGTTCGGTTGAGCGTTAGTGACAAATTGCTGTTCATGATTTGAGAATTCTCGCTGCATGTGATCCACCATATTCTTGTAGTTATTTCAGTCAGAGAGCCTTCGCGCACCCGCACCGAGAACTCTCGCGCACGGAGGCACTAAAATTCCGACAGTTGCAGACCGAGTGCGTGCTGACTCCGGCTCTGTCCCGACACATGTGCACCGACATGTTCGTGGGCGCAAAATGCAGTGAGTGCGAACGTGAACTAGCTACTCTCCGCCACATCGTGTGGGGAGGGTGTAACAGTGCTATGCACAGTGGGAACGGGCAGTGCCAGGACGCCACGTATCCCGAAGAGGTGAAAGCGTGAATATGCTCCGAAGACCTGAAGACGCAATGAAGGGCCATTCAGTTGCTTGAGGAGGCTTTCGTGAAGCAACGAAGAAACGGAGCCGACGACCCATCTAACAGGTGCGGAAGCACCCGAATAACCGTCGCCTAGTCGGAGCAAAACATCCTCGAGGTCTAGGCTCTGAGATTATCGGACTCTAATAGCCGTAATCATAAGATAGGGAACATCCGCGCCCTGTGAGGCCGGGAACTTCCTTCACGCCGGATGTACAATTAAATGTTATTTCTCTCTCTCTATCTAATGGTTCGATTCCGCGGTTACCTCCTGTCCTAAGTAGGCATATTTCTTACAACTTCCAGCGTCTCTCCACCTATTGCAAAGTGCTGTTTTCTGCCTTCACAGTTGGGCATTACTTTAGTTTTGTGCATATTAATTTTAAAACCTACTTTTTTGCTTTCCGTGTCCAGTTCAATAATCATGAGCTGTTATTCGTACCCTGAGTTACTGATCAAGACAACGTCGCAGGTTACTAAGATACTCTTTATTAACTAATATTCCTCAGCCTTCCCAATCTAGGGCCCTGAAAACCTCCTGTAAACATTGCGTGTTTGCAGAAGAGATTGCAGGATAGAATTGGAGAGATAGCGCCTCCTGCTTTACAGTCTTCTTGATTGAAATTCTGTCGCTTTCTTTATAGACAACTAGAATGGCTGTCGATTCACTGTAAACTTCTTCCGGTACGTTAATGTAGGGTTTGTCGATGCCATGATTCCGTAGTGCCTGCATTACTTCTGATGTCTCGATTGAGTCAAACGCCATCTCGTAATCTATGCAAGCTATGTATTGGGGTTGGTTCTATTCCGCGCCTTTCTCTACTACTTTATTGATAGTATGAATATGGTCTATTGTAGAGTAGCCTGTACAAAATTCTGCTTGTTCATTTGGTTGTTTGAACTCTAGTGCGCCTTAAGTTTATTAGTTGTTTTTTGTAAATAGTTTGTAGAGAACAAATGTTAAGCGTATCGGCATATTTTTAAACTCTGTTGACGTATTCTTTCTTATGAATTAAGATTACCTTGGCGTTCCTCCAAGAGTCTAGTAGCCCTCCCATCAAGAGACTCTTTGTGTATAAGTTGGCGAGTTTTCTTAACTCGATTTTTCCGCCATCTTTCAGCAGGTTCGTTGTTACCTTATCCTCACAAGCGGCGTTGGCTTTCGAAATTATTTTAGGGCATTGTTATTTCCCTTCTCATTTATTTATCTTAGTTATGGCATCGCCTTCATGATCCCTGATGCATACATATGATTTTTGCCCATGCACAAGCTTACCTTTGCAGCTTTCAGGCTTTGAACACTTCTTACACTCTGCTCATTTCTCTCCTTGTTATACCTTCTGATGTCGGCTGCCTTGCGTCTATTGATTAACTTCGAAAGCTCTACTAGCTCTCTATTGCCGGTTGCATTTAAGACTTTTCTTGTTTATTGCCTCTTAATGAGATTTTTCATCTCCTCAGATAGTTTGCCAGTGCCATGTCTAGTGACTGTACCTCCAACTTCCGTTGCACACTCTTTCATCATACTAGTAATATTATCTTTCACTGTGTCAACCGTAACGTAAGTTCCCTCATTTAAAACCTCAAGTCTATTCTGAAGCGATACTCTCAATTCCTGTACTTTTCCTCTCATCACTAGCTCAATAGCTGCCTTCTTGCGTTTCAGTTTATGGCTTAGATTTTTTTAAAATCTAGGTGAATACGAGATCTTACTAATTTGCGCTCACTGCATCAGCTGTTGCAATCTATTTCTACATCATTTTTTCTTCTTCATCCTATTTTACTTTCATTTTTACCATTAGGACGTCGCCAAGTCCACTTATGGTTAACCCATTTTCTGAAGAAGGTATTCAAGATCCATAAACTAATACGTGCTGCGAACTCAACGAATAACTTTCTTCTGGCATTTATATATACGTTGCCATATTCCCCATCTGCATAGTCTTCGGCCTGTTTCTTGCCTACCTTAGCATTAAAGTCACCCACCAGAATGGTATACTATGTCTCTAATAAAGGCTGACTCTACGACTTCATAGAGGCGTTCCACTAAATGATCGTATTGGCTCTATGTAGGCGCGTAGGCCAGTACCACCTTCATCTTATACTTTTGTTAAACTGAATTATGATTCTTGCCACACTCTCACTGATGCTGTAGTATTTGTCTATGTTGCCAGTGATATTCTTGTGTATTAGATACCCTGCGCCAGCTTTTTTCTGTCAATTAACTAATCCACGGTCGCATA